CAAATGTTTTAAAAGAACACAAAAGGTATGTTATGCTATGTGGAAATTGTGAACTATAATATTTTTTTGTATGTGTACGCCCTGTTCAAATGGTTTGAGGAATAATTGATTAATTTTTGTGTTGTATTTTCAGCTTGGCAAAGGAGTCTTTCAAATTCCTGAGCAAGAGTACTTAGCTACTTTTGCTGTTGAAGATGCATATATATTGAGTGAAGCCAATGAGGAAACTGTGCGCACAATTGTGGAATTTGTGAAGGCCCCTGACTTGTTTCAGGTATTATAAGGTCTTGTGGAATTTAAAGATTATTTTTGCTAATTTAGTGGTCTACATTTCTCCTTGATGCATGCTTACCCTTGTTTACTTGTGTTACATCATTTAAAAATATAGGTTTTTTCTTTTAAAAAAATCTCTTCATGTATGTACAGAAGAAGCTCTAATAGCATTGTTGAAAGTAAAAGTTGCAGCTTCTCATGTGAGTGACTTGGCTTTAGAAATATTTCTAACTGTTCTAGAGTTTCATTTGAGTGAACTTTGCTTTATAAATATTTATACTTCATGATTTCTAACTTTCTGTTTAAATGTGCATCAACATGCTGCCATAAATGTGTACATTTGATTATTGGTCAATTGATATCTTTATCAATCTCTATTCAACCCCATGTAAGTAAATGTTAATCCTAGTAACACATTAGAGTGAAATATGCAATTGTGCTCTTATATCCTTTCACATATACTTTCATGTGACTGATCTTGTTGTATGAGACTTGTATTTCATTATTTAGGTGCACTGATTTCTGTGTTTTGATTATTATTCAATACTAGGCTATCATTCAATACTTTTGATCATAGAACTTCTTTGCTTGATATTATCTTTGTTAACTTTACATTATTTAAATATCAAAGAATATGTATGTTTAACAAAGTGAGGACTTAACAGGTTCATAATCTCAGCATTATATATATTATTAAAGATTAGAGATTATTTAAGGCATAATCTGAATTCTGCTTAGTCTTAGTTCCGTCGACATTTATTAACTTGTTAATTCATACGTTTACATCTTAGCAGATTGATGTGATTAGTGCGGGCTCATACCACAAAGGCAATCTTAGGCCCATCAAGCAAAGTCAAGCTTCCAAGTGACAAGTTCTATATAGATCAATTTGTTTATTTCCCTATGCTTATATGTTTTTAATATCGTTTGCCCAGATAGTTGACATGAACATTTTTTTAGTACTTAAATTTATATATACAATAATTTTATTTTAGTGGATGTGAGATTTCAGTTTCTTGTTTTATGTAATTATTTAGCAATTTAATTATTTC